TATAGAAACAATCTAATTTACATATTTAAATTTAATTTTTATGGCAGGGGGTTGCAAGGAACAGAGGCAGTGCTCCTCTGTTATTCAGAACTGCATTGCCCCTTTTCACAGACTCACTCTTTTTTTAAAAAATCCACTGAAGTTTGCTTGATCATCTCTTAGTCTTTGTATTTGATACAGAAGTGACTAGCCACAGTTACCACAGTCCAATTTCAAAAGTTTAAGTCACAATCATTGGCCAAGTGAGGCCAGCCAATCAGCATGGCATGGGCATGACCTGGGCATAGAACTGGTTATTAGCAATGGTTAAAACTCATGCTACAACTCATCAGCCAACCCCTCGCCACAGGTTGGTGGTTGGGAACCTCTGGTCTAGCCCTCACTGTACCAAATAATGGGTTAATGTCTTTTCCTGGGATGGCATCCAGTTGGATGGTAGTCAAGGAGATGCATGAAAAGTGAAAAAAGTTTATGAAATGTTTTAAAGTGTGTTAATGCTTGTGATGTGGAGATAAGGTGTGAGAGGCATTGAGATTTTCACCCACTGAAGCTAATGGGAGTTGAAAATAAATAGCACCTTGCTAGATCCAACTCTAATTCAGGTGACTGTATCACAGGAATTCTTTCAACGTTTCCAATTGTTCTTGTAGAATCAAATTGGGATGTTTAATTGGCTCTTGGAATAATGAAACTCTTCACATACAATGTAGAATGTTTCATGTGAGGATCTCTAAGCACTTTACATAAGCACATGAGTACATGAGCAAATACTGCTATCCTTGTTTCATAGATAAGGTTACTGAAGAAGAGAGAGGTTAAGAACTTGCCCAAGTCATGCCAGGGGACAGCAATAGAAATGGGTTATACAATCCATATGTCCTGACTCCCAGTCGGGTGCTCCTAGCAGTAGCTTTTTCTGCCTCCACTAAGTCTGTTACGTTTTTGCAGTCTAATAATATGCCCCAGGCATGACATAACAGCAATCTAATCCCTGCCTTCACATGACTTACTCATTGAAAGAGAGATGGAGGAAAATACAGATATGTTAGTATCATAACTTGTAAAAATGATTGTATCATTTACTCACTATGTAGTCTTCATAATAGAATGTGTGTCTGAGTTGAAGATGCCTTATAAAATTCCTGCTGAAATAGCCTGGATCTCTACCAGGTATTAAACGACAAATTGGACAGTACTATACATATGGAAAAAAAAAGTCAATATTAAGTTGTTAGTACAGAGAACTCATAAAATAAAAAAATGTCAGTGTTAAAGGAACAGAAATGTAAAGTATCTGATCAAAGGGCATTCCTTTAGTGACATGAATATATTTACTGGCAGGCACAATGCACTTTCAGTCCAGTAGCCTATTAGGTTAATCCCAGTTGTGTATTATCTGTTCCCTTGATAGACAATTCTTGGTCTGTCTCCCCACAGCTTCTGCTTAACCCCTTCATTGTTACTGGCTGATCCAAGAATATACCGCGACAAGGCACTTGCTCAGCTTCCAGCACATGCTGTGTGATTTACTGTTCTACTAAAAAAAAGTAGGGTTCTTACTGCCGTATGCAATAGTTTACTGTGTCTTTTAAAACACAAATGCCTGTGTTTTGTAAGGAGGTAGTTTTGTAGTGACAGGTCCTCTGTAATGGAGTTAACCACTGTAACATTTACTTAAAATGATATAAAAAATGTTAGTCTGCACTTAAAACAGATTTTGAATCCTGTTGGCCTCCTAACAAACTGCGAGCAGCTAAGATGGATCCTTTATGCTTTTATAGTTAACTTAGCAAGTGCTATCCTGGTATGAAAGAGGAGGTAGCAGAAGCTCATGTGAGTACTTGTAGGAACAAGGTCTAATTTGCCAGGTCACACAATGCTTCCTAATAGCCTTGGGTTCAGAATCAGGGGCCTTCCAACTGCAATAATTGACTGGAAGGGTAAGAGTGAGTGCCACTAGCTTGTCCTGGGGAATCCTGTAGCAAGTGATGCAGTGGGAAGTGTTTAGTGGATACATCAATTAGAAAGAATTTTATGGTTCCAGAAGAGGCAATTTCTTGACTTTTATGGGTTTCTCCCTATATGAATTTAAATTTGCTTTAAATATTGTTTAAATTGTGTGAGATTTTGTGGGAATTAGAAAGGGACCATTTTAATACTATGTTGTATGGTACATGTTATTTACTAGTATCCTTGAGATACCTTTCTTCGTGTAACTGATGTTTGATCTATGGGCCATATTCTGCCCCATAACTGCACACTGCTAATATTGATTATATATATTTGTCCTAACATAAATAGCATGTATATTCTGACAAGTGTAAGAGAGGTTTTTTGACAATTACTGGGCTTGAATGAAACAATGCTGAGCCCAAATTAAAACCAGGCAACCAAAATTCAGCAAAATATTGTCTGCTGAGCTAGTACTTCTCACAAAATGTGAATACTGCCCTCAGTTCTAACTTATCTTCCTTCTAATTTGTTCGGTCAATACTACATATACAAGCCTATCAAACTATAAACATCAGTCTGACAGCAGTTAAACAGAGTAAGAACTACCATGCAGCAACAGAGTGTGACTTCTTATTTCTTACTGAAAAATGGTGTTGGTTGCTTCATACATCAGTCACTCAGTTCATAAACTCAGGCACTAAGAGTCATCTTATGTGCTTAGGACCTTGTCCTGAGCAAATGACTCTGAAGTTAATGGGAGTTGTGCACAGTACTTGTCAAGATCAGGTCTACATATAGACTGTAATCCTGTGCAGTCTGATATCCACAGTTATACCCTGAAGATTAGGGCTACTGTATACAAATTTCATTTATGCAGTTGTATTTTCTTAGATATGCATATAGTCCTCTCTAGCCCTTATGGATCATTATAGTAGTTTTCAAACTATAATATATATATCTCTTGTGCAACAGAAATAGACAATTAGAATATACATAGGTTGCTGTACATAAAATGGGGACCTTGGACTTGAAGGGTATACTAAGGAAAAGTATATAGAGAATTAGAAAGTGGGAGAACCACTGGGTCTAGTAACACAATTTTGAAAATGTATGTGGTTAGTCCTTACGTTGTCTGGAACCATGAGGGCATACTGGATTGTCTGGCCTTGGCTTTTTAAAACCAGTTGTCTGGTGCTGGTAGAATTGCAACCAATAGACTGGCAGGAATGAAGCACAGCGACATGGAGGACAGGCCTCTTTTACCATTGTGTCATACTCATAAAAAACTAAATTTGTAATGAATTCATCTTATTGTCTTGTGTTTGCTTGCAGACATCAGTAATCAAAGTAACATGCAAGTTCAATTAAGTATATATGTGTGCATATTACTAAGCTGTGTAAAATAGTTACCACTGCTCTTCTTTCTGATCTGTGGTAAGTCAGACAATGGTCCATTAAATCATCTTCATCCAGTTCACACTGGCAAAATGGACAAGCATACCTGGGGGAAAACAGAAATGATATAGAATCACAGAAAATTAAGGTCAGAAGGGACCTCAGGTCATCTAGTCTCAACCACCCTGTGCTCAAAGCAGGACTATCCCCCACTGGATCATCCCAGCTGAGGCTTTGTCTACCCAAGTCTTAAAAACCTCCAAAGATGGAGATTCCACAACCTCTGTGGGTAAACTGTTCCAGTGCTTCACTACCCTCTCAGTGAGAGTTGTTTTCTAATATCTAACCTAAACTTCCTTTACTGCAACTTGAGACCGTTGCTCCTTGTTCTGTCATCAGCTACCACTGAGAACAGTCTAGCTCCATCCTCTTTGTAACCACCCAGCTGAAGGCTGTTATTAAATTCCTGCTCAGTCTTCTCCTCTCCAGATTAAATAAAGTTTCCTCAGTCTCTCCTCATAAGTCATGTTCTCCAGCCCCCTAACCATTTCTGTTGCCCTTCGTTGAACTCTCTACAATTTGTTGAAATCTGTTCTGTAGTGAAGTGCCCAAAACTGGACACAGTACTCCAGATGTAGCTTCACCAGTGGCAAACAGAGAGGAATAATCATTTTCTCTCGATCTGCTGGCAACACTCCTACTAATGCAGCTCAGTATGCTGTTATCCTTTTTCACAATAAGAGCACGTGTTCAGCTTATTGTCTGCTGTAATACTCAGGTCCTTTTCTGCAGAGCTGCTGCTTAGCCAGTCAGTCTCCAGCCTGTACTAGTACATGTCACTGTTATATCCTAAGTGCAGGACTTTGTATTTGTCCTCATTGAAATTAGAGGGATTTTTTTTTTTTTTGGTCCATTCCTCCAATTTGTCTAGGTCTCTCTGAATCCTAGCCCTACCCTCCAGCATATCTAATACTCCATCCAGCTTGGTGTCATCAGCAGACTTACTGAGGTTAAGTTCTAGGGGTGTACCGATAGAGAATTTTTGGGCCAATACTGATGGCCGATTTTTAAGGAGCCATATCGGCCGATACTGATCTGATTCCAATATGCAGCTGAGTAGCTTGGGGACCAGCATCGGGCTGGTAAGCCTGGTGTGGGGGAAAAGGGGAGGGGAGGGGAGGGAAGGGCCATGGTGGGGGGTGCAGATCTAGGACCCCGCGGTGAGGGAGGGAGTGGGGATGGGGCAGGTGTTGCTTGGGTGGGGCATGGGACAGAGCCATGAGTGGCTTGTGTGGGGGGCAGGGAGGGAGTTCCTGCCCTGCACACACCCTGGGGGCGGGCACAGGGAGCGTATGCCCCCAAATCAGTGTGTGGGGTGGGGCGACTGCCACTGCAGGCTGGGGCCAGGCAGTGCCAGGGTCTTCCCGGTGGGGGCTGGGCCAAGCTACGCTTGAGGTGGGCAGCGGTGGTGCTGGGAGAGGGTTATGGGGGGGGCTGCATCCCCTCTAGAATTTGCTGTAGCCCCCACCGTTCCCCCTCCCAGTGCTGCCGCCACCTGCCCCGAGTGCAGCCTGACCCAGCCCCTCTGCCGGGAAGAGCTCAGCACAGTCCCTGGCCTCAGCCTGCAGCAGCAGCCACCTCAACCTGCACACAGATCCGGGGCACACGTCCTCCATGCCCTCCCGGGGTGTGCGCAGTGACAGGAGCCACCCCCCACCATGGCCCCCGGATGAGTCACTCGTGGCTCCATCCCACGCCCACCCCGGCTGTGCAGCACCTACCCCATCCCCAGTCCCTCCCTCACTGCCTCTCTCTTATCAGTCATGGGACCCCAAGACCAGCCTAAAAGTCCCACTCCATTA